CAGATGTGAGTGGGCGTTAAGGCGTCTGGGGAGGGAACTCAAAACTGAATTATAGACAGAGAAGTTCCTTTTTCTATCACGTTCTTCCATACATGGCAATTTGTTTCACCCTCCAGATGGTTCCTGTGGGCTTGCACTCTTCTTGACTCTTCTTCTGTCACCTGTTACTAGGCAAACTCAAATGCAGTTAGAAGCTAAATGAATTCCAGGCCTATCTTTAAATCATTTGTGTTTGTGAGCATGTATGCCTTTTTAACCTTCTGTTGCTCCAAGTCACTTACACCATGGATCGTCGCGACATCGCGCCAAACTTAGCTTAAAACCCTTAAATAGACTGAGCATCAACTCTTCATGAGCACATCTGCAATGTGTGTATAAAATGGTTATAGCCGCACCTGTAATAGAAGTTTTAATGTAATGCCAGTAGCTTTAATGAACGTTTTAATGCAATGATAATGATGAAAGCTATATGCAGCAGTAAAATATTTTTCTTTATTCCCACACATGCATCCTGGTTTGACTTTGCTACAGTGTTACAGTGTTGCATCTTTCGCCATCTTACAATGCTGTGATTGCAGCCATTCCCCATTGGTCAGTGGTCTTTGATCAGTGGGTTTTGGTCGGTTGTTGATCAATGGTCATGAGAATTTGCATAATTATGAAAAGGGTTACAAAACCACTTCTAAGGCTTTGGGACTCGGGGAAACCACAGTGAAAAACTATAGCATTTCATAAAAAGAACATCATACCAGCAGTCAGTGTTAGGAAGGTTACTTTTAAAATGTATTCCACTACAGATTACAGAATACATGCCCCAAAATGTATTTTGTAATGTACTCTCATTGAGTAACATATTCTGAATACTTTGGATTACTTAACATATTATCAAACTTTTTGCTGAATGTGTTTTTGCTCTGTGATTTATTACTATTACTGAAGGTTACTCGCCAATACCAATTAGGTGAGTAACAGTAGGATGGACATTAGGTAAGGCTGCACTTTTTGCAGCGATCTTGTATAGAAAACTGTTCCACGGCTCTGAACCGTGGTAAAGGACCCCTGGCTAATACGTAATTCGTGTCGGAGTCGTAAAATAGTTTTACTTTTTGTTAGACTTGTAGTCAAGACCGCCTAATCCGAGACCAAGACAAGACCAAGACTAAGTCGAGACGAGACCAAGACCAAGTCGAGACGAGACCAAGACCGAGACCAAGTTGAGGCGAGACCGAGACCAAGACCGGGACAAAAAAGGCTAACTTTTGTGTGCTTTTGAGGGCTGACATGATGGTACTGACTGGCCCCAAAGTCATCTGACAAAACAGCGATCACCTCCAACAACTATCTAAAGAATGGGAAATATGTAACTGGTTTCAGTTATCATGCGGGCCGCAAGCAGAGATGATGTGGGCCGCGAGATTGAGACAAAGAGCCTTGTGATGCATGTTTTGTTTGGGTTTCCACCGGCATGGAGTTACCAAAAATAGAGTGGGGATAGCCTAACATATGAAACAGGAAAAGAACG